ACTTCTCAAGATTCTTTTTTCAACTTCTGTGAAACTAATTTATTTGATTTGTGTGTCAAAGTGTTGTTGGATTGAGCTTCGACTTTGTGGTCTTGAATTTGACTAAGCACTCATCGTATATGATCTACAACGTCTGCCTCTACTTTAGTCCAGTTATTCAGAAACAGTATTTCGACACTTATGGCGATAAAGAGGTCTATATCTCTTCTTTCTTCAAGATTGACGTTTTGTTTTATTGTGGAAAGGAATTGGTAACCCGAGAACCCGATTAATCTCACGGGTATATGCAAACCCAAGGGATACAATGTTAAACATATTCTCTTAGCAAAAAAAAAAAAAAATGTTTAACATATTCTTGTTTTTGGTTAATGAATGAGTAGATATTTTGTTTTTTTTTTAAAACGAGGATTTAATTTGTTTGTGATAGTTTCTTAATGAAAATGTAAAGAGTGTTTTTTCTTGTTGTGAAAGGTGTGACAACATTTTCTCTTTAATATGCTTCCACACTTTCATTTTCAACATTTGGTTATCGTTTTTGTCCTAATTTTTCAGATGATACCTGTGGCTGCAAATGATGTTGCATTCTCAATCCATGCAGTTGTAATGACTGCCCTTTTACTCTTCCAGATCTTTATCTATGAAGTTAGTAATGGAATTTCTCCTTTTATCTTGATATCTTGTTTTTGTTTTCTTTCTTTATCCCGTTCGCTCGTTTTTTTGTTTATATTCTCAGCGAGGATCTCAAAAAGTATCCAGACTTGCTGCTGCTATTGTGATTGTTGTGTGGACATTTGCAGCTATATGTTTCTTCATAGCATTGCCTACACAATCTTGGCTCTGGCTCATTTCGCTCTTCAAGTAAATTGATGATCCAATTATTTTTGTATGTACACTCTTGATAACTTTTGGTTATAATGTATTTTTGTTTGTTTGTTATAGTTCGATTCAGGTGTTTATGACATGCGTCAAGTACATTCCTCAGGTGAGAAACGATTCAAAACCTTAATTTGATTTGAAGAATCAGATCAGAAAATATATTATTCATGTGTACTGTTCTTCACAGGCAAAAATGAATTTCACTAGGAAGAGTACAGATGGTTGGAGCATTGAGAATACTCTTCTCGATTTTACTGGAGGAGTCACTAATTATATGCAAATGGTTATACAATCTATTGACCAAAGTAGACAAATCTCTTCTCCATCACATTAATAGCTTTTGTTTGCCACACAAAAAAAAAAAAACTAAAACTTGTCTTCTTTTCTTGGTTCCTTTCAGATTCTTGGGTGAATTTCTATGGGAACATTGGAAAGACTCTTCTATCACTCGTAAGAAAATCTGAGTTTTTCGTCTTCTTTCGATTCTTCTTTCGAAAAACTTCTCTGTCTCTCTAACAAATCATTTCTCGTACCTTTCGATAGATCTCGATATTTTTCGATATCCTCTTCATGTGTCAACACTATGTGTTATATCCAGAGAAGAACACCTCAAAAGTTCTGGAAACTGGTCAGGAGTCGAACGAACCTCTCATTGACTCTTCATACGAACATATTTAAAGATTGGATTTTCAGAAGGATCAAAGTCAGAACAAAAAATCCTTAGTTTCAATTTTGGATTGGGATAGTAACCATAGTGTGAAATTTTATTCAAGAAATGGTATATATATTCATTTGATTTTCTTTAAAATTGTATTTTTAATATCTTAAGCTCGAAATTGTGAATAGTATATTAGAATCCTACAATCCATTTTGCTCCCTATAACTATTCTTAAAATTGAATATTTTGATACTGCTTTTAAATCCGGATCACAAAACAAAATGACATCATCTTAAGGATGATCAGATTTGAACTATAGTAGAACCTTATCTCGTTAGTCGTTATTGATCAGTATTATTTTTTGTCGTTTAATTAGTATTTTTGTAAAGCTTTGTTATTAATAAAAATAGAAGATATGATTATTTACATATGTTTTCAGTAACAGATATAAAATTTCATTAGACATTGATATGTTATCCATTTTTATATCTAAAAGATTTGAACTTATTTTTGGTATATACTAAACACATATCTAAATATAAATCACAAAAGTAAATAATTAGGCGGAATGTATGGCAAAGCTAATGGAGAAAATAGGTATAGAGAAGTTTAGTGTGGTTGGAAGAAGCTACGGTGGATTTGTGGCGTATCACATGACACAAATGTGGCCGGAAAAAAGTAGAGAAAGTTGTGATTGCAAGCTCCGGGATCAACATAAGAAAGTGTGACAGTGAAAGTTTATTGCAAAGATCAAATTGTGAGTATTATTTTATAAATTATCAAGCTTACAAAAATATATCAACTATTTTGTGGACATATCTACCATTTTATGTTTCTCATTCCTATAGTCTTCATCCTGCAAATTTTCATATATATACAAATCATGTCAATTTCTCTATACACAACACAATAAATATTTGTATTTGTCCAAATAAAAAAAAATTGTATTTAAAATATGTTTGTTTCAAATTCAAATATTCAAGTAATTAAGTACTTGTATTTTTTGTTGAAATATATTTTCAAACCATAACATTTTTATCTATCGAAGATCTGCGCATTAAAAAAAACACAATTGACGTCGTGTGTTGAATTATGTTGAGGTTTTTAAAACTGTTTGATAGAAATTTTTTTAGAGGTGACCATAATAGTTTAACATTTAAACACAAACACAAAAAAGGAATAGTCAAACTCAATAAAATAAGTGAAGAGATTATTACTGGGATGATTGAGATGGAAGACTAGATGTAGATGGTGGGTGACATTTGCGCTCACATTGGTCTTCACAGGATACAGGATGTTTAAATAAAAATCCACACAAGAACAAGCACTTGTCCATGCATGAAAGTCCTTCTACTTCTCCTACCATAGCCACCATAACTACTGCCACCACAATCATCAATACAATGCATTTCTTCATACTCATTTTTTGTGTGTATAATATATGTTCATTAAGAAGTTTG